TAATCGTTCATAAAAAAAATCACGCGTCACGAGCGTGAACGTTTTTCTTCGCAGCTCGATCAACGTGTGTTTGCGCTGATTTCGCGCTTATTAATTCACGAACTGTTTCGCCGTAAGTAAACTTCATTATTTCGTCCAGATAGATAGATGGATGGATGGATAGATAGACAAACAATTTCGAGAAAGATAGCCGGCCGAGAGTTAGTTGGTTTAACGGCGGTTAATATTTAACGTGTACATGTTGGATTTGATTTAGCGCGCAAGTGGCGTCTAATTGAGCAATTGCGCAATTTACGTTGCCTTTTAGCGCAATCATTGAAAGCCAGTTTCAACCGCTTATCAAAGATGAACAGGAACGGGACAAATCGACGACACGAGCAAGCAAGACGAACGAGCGATTCTTCTTTGCGAGCGCGATGTATCTACCCGTTTAAACCGTTTCACGGCTTTAGACGAGCACTTTAGACGAGGAAAGGCTTCGTCACACCGGCCGCCCATTCTTACACGCCGATCTGGATTGGCGCGAAACCAAATCGTTTTTCTTTTTTACCGAAAAATCCAAGTAAGAAAAGCACGTCGTAGAAAAATAAAATGAAATAAAATAAAAAAATTTCGAGCGGACGAAACCGGAGTGAATGGACTGTGGGCTTATTGCACGATCCCCGGCGCTTGTTCAATATACGTGGAAAAATTGAAGTGTGTCTTTCTCTCCCTCCCTCGTTTAACGCATCGCCATTGTAGTCGTCGTTGAGCTATTCTATTATTCAGAGTTGGGATGAAACGGTCCGCGAGAACGGAAACAAAAAGGCTTGTATATAAAAATTTAAATTAAACCCGGTAGATTCTTTGCAAAAATCGGATTTATCAAAGCGAAGATAAACGAAGGGGTTCTTTTATTCCCGAGTCGTCGAGCCCAATTTTCCAAACTGGAAAATTCTGTATGAAAAAATTCCCCATTGTTCCTTTTTTTTTTTCTTCTCCTTTTTTCTTCCTTTATCGTTGTTATTCTTATGAAATGGGCCAGCAATCGGCTCAACGATTAAGCGTCGAAGAGAGGATGGAAGACGCGACGACGAGATAATAATTGCACGTGCATCAACGTGGCGCGAGCCACGTTGCGTTTCTTTGGCACGCGGTTTCGCGAGTCAATAAAGCCACGACCTATTGATCCGAAAGGTCCTCCTCTTGTCTCCGTCTCTCTTTCTCTCTATCAGAGCTGTTGGTTCTATCGAAGGCGAGTTGGCTGAAGATAGACACACCTTCAGACTTGGGGTGGCCGCTAGAAATCCGTGGAAAGCTGGCAAAAGTTATATCAATCCTTATAACCGTCTCCTTCTCCTCGACCTTGGTCGTCGAGCATGCTGCACGCTAATCACCTTGGCAACGCCAAAAATGACCAGATGTTCCAACCCCCCTCCTTTTAGTCTTACTTACGATCCACCTGTTATTTCGCCATATTTCATAACCGACGTTTCCCCATCCTGTTCGCGAGCAGTTGCAGAGACGGCTTGATATTTCTCGAGACGAGATTAGGATCGGTAATCCTTTGTTGCGCTCCGCTTGTTTGGCAACGCATTGAAGTTATCTTCGTTTCCGCGTTAATGTACCGGGTGGGCAGATGGAAAATGCAATTCTGGAACAAAAATTGAATATTAATATCCATATTTGCGAACGAAATTTCATTGAAATAACTGATTCTGATTGGACTCAGAAAGCATGGCAGGTTGTGAAGGAATTAGATCAGACTTATTACGTGAACATCCTCATTACACGAACACGTTTATCGACGGTTTTTTTTTTTTTTTACTTTAGCAAATTAAATTGTCAATAACTCGGTAAACAAGCCAAGTCGGCCGACACTTTTTTTCTTACGTCAATTCCCACGCTCGTTTTAATCTCGAAGAATCATCGTTTAGATTTTCCAACTACCTCGTTCGAACGTCTTTTCTCTCGCGAATTCCACACAGCCATGTATCACTTTCTTATTGTTCTTTCGCAAGAAACGATATCGTTTCGTCGATCTTTGAGCGGCACAAGTGACAGTGAAACAGGTAGGCTATGGGGAATGTTACGTTTGAATTTTAAAACGTAAGATATCTCGAAGCGTTCGGGTCAACGAACCGGAAATTGCCGAGGCTTAAGAAAGATCGTGAACGGGTTTACAAAGGTGTTCACGGGACGTGAAACGTTTCCTCGAGATTCAAAGAGATACTTCCCTTAAAGAAGAATGAAATAACGTTATCGAATTCTCGGCCCACACCTTTTTCTTAACTTCTCTTCGATCCAAACGACGATTAAACCTGTTCGGAAGACACAACAAGTTTTAAACGCTAAACTAATTTCTACATCGTGAGAGAACTTGGCACGGATTAAATTTTTCGATGCGCATTCGATCTGATCGCGTCTTTCAGAATTCTCGTTGAAATAAAAATGGATACAACGATCAATTGATATTATAAATTCCTGGACCTGGTCAATAGAAGCGCGTGGGCGTCGGTTTTCGATTGTGAAATAATTTATAGATTATCACAAGATTTATTACAAATTTCTCCCTTGAATAATTCCGGAACGAACGATTCGTGATGATTTTTATCGGTTTAAAATTATCGGATTTACGATTTATCACACCTGTCCAGAAACTTGTGTAACGTTGCAAGCACAGTCATCGCCGAAATCGTCTAACCGTGGCAAATTTCTGGCCTTTCGAGGCAGTTAACGGGCCGATGATCACGAAAATGCCTCGATGCTCTGCATTGCTCCACCTATAAACGTGCCTCCTTCGCTTTTCTAAAACATTATCCCCAATACGGTGCGCGTGATTAACGCGGGAAACGTTGGAAATTATTGCCTCCTTTCTTCTTTGTGTACCGGAATAATAAATAAATATTCGGTCATTTTTATTTCTATTTAAAGAGTCATCGATCGAGTCCCCTCCGCACGGCCTTTTGTACTTTTTCGAAAATTTTTTTTCTTTTTTCTTTTCTTTTTTTTTTTTTTTTTTTTACCTCGCTAATTTAATGCACATCGTACGATGCGAGTTGTGTACCTGCGTACACTACTTGTGAAGTATCTGGGTCAGAAGCGTGCGCGGTAATTGGCAGCAGACTAATTCTCTCACAATTAGTTCGTTGACAGTGTGAAAGAGTGTCTGGTATAAAGTAATACTTATACGTACAACTTCACTTTACTTTGCTCGTTACCTTAAAAGTTTCATCAACTTTTCTACTTCTATTGTATCAAATTACAGAGCAACTTAAGACCATTACCGCACACATATGAGATATATAGCGTGCGGCACAAATAGCGTGGATTATACTATAGTGTATCTCTTACTATACAAGAGATCGCTATCCCAGAGAAACATATCCTTCGACTAATATCTACATTGTATGTATATTAAAATTACATATATGAATTCGCTTAACCGGTAGCCTTGAGTACGCACAATTTTCCATCCATAGTATAATTCCCTATACAGTTTCGTCGAGTCAACGTACAATTTTAAACGATTCTTAACGAGATCAAATAATGCACGAGTTCACTTGTACTCTTCTTAAGCACGATTAAACTAAACTCTATTCTCAAAATATTTAGATTGTTTCAAATTGTACGCAAAGAAGAGGCAAACAACACAACGGTTGTTCAACGGTTATCGAGAGAAGAGATATTGGACGATTCGGCCCAATTACGGAGGATGAATTATCGAAATAGTGAACGTGCCATTGGAAGATCGTGCCGAGAAAACTATGCGATATATATATATACGTCCAAATCCAAATATCGTTATTTGGGACCAAGCCTTCTCGTCCCCTTCTCCTTCGATCGTCCAAGTGGACACGGATATGAAAATTTTCGAAACTGTTATCACCGAATATTTATACCCACGGTTACAGAAACGGTGCAGACGATACTCGAGCACAGTGGTGGAAGACCTACCACTCGAATTATCTAGGCCACCGGCTTGTAGAGCAACTGGCAGCAGAGTCGAGCCTCTTACTTCGCTGACAGCGCTGAAGCTCATCCCTCTGTGTGTATATAAAGGCTAGCTATAACCACTTACAAGCGTCAGCCGAAAAATAAAAGCCACCTACACAAACACGTTTCGCCCGTTTCCCGCGACCATCTCTCGAACCCCACGACTATTCTTCGGCTCGGCATTTTTTTTTCTTCTTTCTTTTTTTCTTTCTTTTGCCACGACACCAACTCAGGAATCAGGTTATGCACTCGAAGACGGACCTCGTTCTCTCGTGCTTATTAATCGGCAAACTCTCTGATCGAATTTGTAATATATCGTAAATTATAGATAGACGGTAAAAAACCATCGTTTACTTTTCGTAATTCGTAATTCTATACAGAGTGTTAATGCGTTCGCGCGACACGTTTGGACACTGGAGGCCGAAAACGAAGATAAAAGTTGGATGTAGAGGAGAGAATATCGGTTCAGGCTTATTATTGAGTTGTAAGCAATTTAAGTAAGTTTGCGTTAGACGAAGCGAGAAGGAGATGGGCGATGGAGATAGAACTCCATCTCCTTTTATCTCGCTTCGTCTAAAGCGAACCTCGCTTGCCACGGTTAACTAACGCTGCGGATTTTTATGCAAAATCAAATTTTTACAGAATTTATTTCTTAAACTTCGTAACGCACGTATAATATATTTCGTGCGATTTCGCGAGTTTTCGTACATTCAAAATTTGCGTTAATGCACAATGCGTCCAACGGTCTATCTATAACTTAATAAATAACCTTCAGTTGACATTTTTGCGTTCGTTTCGGCCTTTAAACACCGAACCCTCCAAAGATATTTTCCCACGAAAATATTAACATCCTCTGGAAGAGCGAGATATTTTACATACGTCGTATCTTCGTTCGAGAAATTATTAAAGGTGATACATTCGTTCGAAATGACGATACGTCGCTTTGCATTTTTTCAATTTCTCACCAATTCGATAACTCTTCTCATCTCGTTATCAATTTTTCGTCGCGTTACCATGGGAAAAAACGACGAAGCTTGATTCCACTGCGCGGAAATATGTTTAATATCCGCGCCGATTCCGAAGTTCGAAATGATTATGACTCTCGTATCACGCTTTCACGTAAAAGCACCGATAAATACTGGTTTCTCATCGGATTCGATGTAACAACATTTGCGTAAGAACGTTATATTGCTACTATGTCTGCAACACGATTAAATCCGATAAAAAGAACGGACAAGCCTAATTTCTAAACGTGGCACGCTTGTTGACGCATCAAGTGGCAAGAATCCAAGAAGAAGCTTATTATTAAGAAAGAAAAGTCGGATTAAAATTTTTGCTTATTAGATTGAAACCATTCTCGATATTCGCAGAATTAATTTCGAATTAATTACCATTTTGAAGACCAGAGAATCAACTTGGCGTTGCTTTTTACCCTTGTCATTGATAATGAACAACATCTTCGCCCCGAATTGTGGCCTAACCGCCAACTTCCTTATTATATATATATACACATATATAATCACACGTGTACGCTGAAAGCCTACAAAAACTGACACTTTCGTAGTACGGATTCATCGGGATGGCCTACTGGTACACTTTTATGATCCCTTTAACATTGAGCGTTGACCCACTATTCCAGAAGGACGTTCGTGTCTGTTGGCCTCGGGGTCCCTTCTGCATCCGCGTTATTTTTTAATATGTGCATGTTTTCTCCACGAATGCAACGTGACCATTGCATTCTGCTCACGATTCGCATCGATATTAAACGTCCCTTGGAAAATGAACCATTACATCTCGTGTCGTACCCTCTGAAGAAAAAGGGAAGACGAGAAGATATTTTTTTTTTTTTTTTTTCTTTTATCACCGATAATGATAATTTCAAGTGGAAGCAAAAAATTCGACCAATCGAGCTCGGATTCACGGAGTCGTTTGGTGAAGAGGAATCGCAATAGGCTTTGCTTTCTCAGCCAGCCCCCTTCGAAGGACGCGAGCAATGATACGGAGGAGTCCGATAAGAATAATGAAATGGGTTAACCTCGTTGATACAGGCACACGACGATTTCCTCGGAATCGAAGACAACGCAATGACGATGGCGGTGGTATTGTCCCGTAATGGGGACTCGTGGCGGTAGGGGTAATCGTTGATAATGTTGGTAAAGTTCACACGAGCATACCGATTAACACGAGGCGTCGATCAGGTCGGGTCAACGTTTAAACGATAGCTTACCCCTCGACGCAGTGTAATAATTAAAGGTGGCAGGCGAAAGGTTAAACTCTCCACACGCGCGATTATCGATCGTGTCTGCTTTCCAGTTGTGAAAAAGAGGAATTCGTTTTTTGTCATGCTCGAGTGACCGGTCGCAGACTGTTCGAAACTGTGTTTAGCCGATCTTTGATTTTTTCTCGAAAAAAAAAAAGGAAAAGGAAAGAGAGAAAGAAAAGCGATGGAGCAGAAATCGAATCGCAGCCGTTCCCAATGGACGGAAATTATTAAATTATCAAATGTCGAGAATCGTTGTGCTCGAATAATTGAGAAATATGTTGGCGAAATGAAAAGGTCAGCCCTCGTACAAATGATTTTCGACGATGACAAAAGACAAAATGCAGGGAAAACTTTTATAGCACTTCTCTTTCTCATCTGTCGTGCTTGTCCGTCATTATTATCATCGTCCTCTTTGTCAAAGATTTTTTTTAATCAAGAGTGGAAAGAACGTGGCTTAAAGCTTAAGTTAAACGGAAATGTTCGTAGAATTTCGTTGTTTCGTAGGAATTGTATCGTCATTTTGTCATCGTGCTGTCATAGCTATCGCATTATAATACCGTGATATTATTGTTCGATAAAGCAATACGGGGAAATTAAATTCGTATCACGCGCGGAAAAATATGGAAGAATCATGGAATTTTTTTCATGCAATGCGAATAATAAATTTAATTAAACGAATTTCATTCTCTTCACAATTTTTCCTTCGTAGAAACCTTCCTTTTTAATCCATTCGAATTTATGCTAGAAGAATTAAATAGCCAACTCTCTCCTTTCGTTCTTTATGGATTTCAAAGCGATACAGAAAATACTATTCCCTAATTTTACAAGCCAGACCACCGTGTCGTTGTTTCACATTTCATTTCTCTATATCGTGATAAAATCGTGATCTCGAATAAAATTAAATAAAATTTTCCCGCGAAAAAGTTCTCACAAAAGAGTATTTCTTCCTTGAAATATTATTATATGAGCAATAATACAATCTTGGATCAAAGTTTATCCATGAAACACGAGTGTTCGAATGTTGAAATTTTCTCAGACATATTATCTGTTATCGAGGATAACAACAACAATCCTAGCCGAAGTCAGTGATGCTGCGTGGTATGGAGTTTGCACGCAAAAGGAATGAATTTCGAGCTTAAGAACCGGTCGGAAAATTCTCTGGCTAGACGCCAGGGACCTTCTGCCACTGGCGTGCACAGTTCGCCAGTTTAACAAACTACCACCCGTCTGCAGCCACCCTTCTTGCTCGTCCTCGCAAATCCATAGTCGGGCAACGATTTTTCCGGCTATGTTGGAATAAAAAAAAAAAAAACAAAGTCGACGCGTGTTCGAGGAAAAGACGCTTTTTCTTAAATGACGATCTTCATTTTTCTTTTCTGTTGCGAAATAACTACGTGTATATATATTTATCTGATAAGGCTAAGGCTTTAGTTCCAATCATTCGTTCGAACAATAATTGTCTCGATTTCTAAAACATTCTAGAAAACTAACGGGAAGATCGTTTAGTGTGAGAATTTGATCCTCCCTTGTAGATTAGCTCGATGACCTTAAATGCGTTTAAATTGCAAGATTAACCGGTAGTAGCGATTAGCGGTAAAGATTTAACCTTGCTCCATTCCTGAAGGTACATTAATTCCGTCGCGCTCGTTCCAGTACACGGTGCTATATCTCTGGATTAACCGCGTTTTCATCGCGCTTTTCGCTCCTCGGCTTATGTTTATCGGTTTAAATAGTCAAGTGTCAAAGTTGAGGAGACCTAGGAAAGAAATAGCAGAAATCTTCGAGAGGAAGCATTGGGAGAAAAAAGTGTTTTTCGAGCGTTGCAGATGCAACTGGTAGCAGCAGCCTCGTTAACGAAGAATCGGTTGGTGAAAAACAAAGGTATTACCTTCGGGTTTGCACACACACGTCATCATCCCGAATTAAAAGTTTTATCGTACAAATGCAAACGCTGCGATGGTTCAAAGCACGATAAATACGTACAACTATTACATATATATATATATATACATATACAGTACAGGTACAACCAGTTTCGTATGATATAATCCGATTAAGTCGCAGTTCACGCGAAATATGCGTAGCATTTTGCGTCACGCAAAACATTACCTTGCGTTTCTCTTATTATTATCAACGCAATCTTCTCTATGATTACTCCTCGAAGATCCGCGCGAATTGCTTGCGATTTCAATTTCCAGGCGATTCGAATCGGTTCCAGCGACGATCGCTCGCGTCCATTTCGTCGAATTAATAGCCCGCGTGACGTGGAAAGCCGATAGAAACTGGCACGATCGCCACGCGAAGGTTAACAAGCGCATCGTTTATCCGACGCGCTGCCCTCGATTCTGCCAATGTTGCGTCTTCGCGTCTCCCCCTCCCCCTGATTTGCGTTTCAATGCTTCTTCGTTCCAAGTTGAACGCGCCTGTTTACGCGAATTCTTTGCATTATCCATCCACACGCCTACGCACTTGCGATGTCAATGTCGCGCAAGCAAGCGGATTTTATTAAGTTGTGCGCGACGATGATCAATAAGAGACGAAGAGTCGTAGAGGAATTAAGAAGGAATTGCTCGGGAGAGGAGAAGCGCGTTTCAACCCTCGCGCACTCGCCTCCGCGCATCCCTTCCCCGGGGGGATCGCTCAAATGAGTTTAGTACCACGTTCGACTACCTGTTGCCCGTTCTTTTCTTCCTTTTCTTCCACCGATAACGCATTCGCACGCGTTCAAACACCGTTACGCGTACCAGCCGCGCGTATTCCATCAATTCGAGCTCCCTCGATTCGAGAATCGTCATTTTCCCATCCCTCCTTGAGTTGCTTAAATTGTCGGGATAGATCAGGTGATAGATACTCGCTCCTCCGAAGAGGAGGGGAATTTTAGGAGCCGTGTACGGAAGAAATTCGGTATTCTCGATCGAGTAATAATAATAACAATAACAACAACAATGGAAAATTGTTAGAAGGAGAAAGTAATCGCTCGTGTACGACCGCTTGTTCTATTGTTTCAGTGAGAGAGATCGATGCAAAGTGGATGTTGAGGTGAAAGAGTAGCGAGGTGTGGTTGACAGGTGGAAAAGAGTCGAAGTTCGCGAGATAGCACCACGCGTCACGCAGGGGTGGTGGGTCTATGGGGGGCTCCGCCCCAGCGGCCCCCCGGCGCCAGTCCAAACGGAAACTGCCGGAACGGTGCTATCCTGGCAAGGTCCAAGACCGCCCCGCTTCCGGTACCACCGTCAAAACGGATGAAGAGCCCCTCCAACATCATGAGGCAGTCTAGCCTCACCAAGCTTGGCTCCATGATCAATACCGCCGTGAACAAGAGAGTCGGTGAGTTTTTTTTTTTTTTATTTCTCGTTTCCCTTTCGTCCCGCAGCCTCTCGCCTCCCCCTTCCACTTCTCTTCTTCCTTTTTCGCTCGTTTCCCGCCCGAAAAAACTCTAATATTCGACGACCGAATTTTTCCTCCGTGAAAGTCGAAGAATGTTGGGAATTGTAAAAAGAGGAGAGGGAGGGGAGGGGGAAGATATAATACAACAATATAACTAATTCCGTAAGGAATAAAGTTTTTTTTTCTTTTTCTTTTTTCTCCAAATCTGCGGACAGATGTATTCTTCGCGACAGAGGAATTAAATTCGTGCGATTATTCGAAATGTTATTCGATCATCGAGTAGTCATTCGCGTATGTACACGCGAGTGTATTTATACGAACCGATTCGAGCATCGTTTACATTTAGCGGTCAGTTGGTAAACCCAACGAGGCCCGATGTCACCTGGCAATAACAGTATGCCGGCGTGATCGTAACGGATATCGTTCAAGAATATATCGTTCGAGAGAGAGGAGTCAGTGAGGAGGATGAGTGCGCGAAGTCGTATCAGGCTGAAACGATTCTATCACGAGTCGCAGCATGATCAGGATGAGACGTCAAGACACAGTGCGATCTGCAACGGTTATCTTTGTGAGTAGAGACAAAAATTCTCTAATGGGCGTACGTAGAGGTACGAAACTGGCGTGCGGAATCGGATCTGACTGTTGGTGCTGAATGTTCCTTCGCAAAAGTAAGAAAAAAGAAAAGAAAAGAAAGAAGAAAGAGCGCATAAAGCTTTAAACTTGTATACAGCTAGCTAGCCACACAAACGGTTCGATCGATTTTCCATGGACGTGGAAAAAATTCGAAGCATGTGAGTTTAAAGGTGAACTCGCTATAGGAGAAATGTGAGCAACCGATATACATCTCGAATACAAGTGAATCTTTAGCGCATTCGAGCGTGAACTATCGAACTCGTAAATTTCGTTAAAAATATTATTGTAAAATCTTCGTGATGTCTATACTTTTTTTTTTTTATCGATCTCGAAAACGCTTGCATTCGTGGCAAATACTCGCGTCCGAGTGAACGTTGCAGCAGTTCTACATATTTATTAGAATTCGTTACAAACTGATTAACATCCTCCCTCTAACACGTTCGACAACGAGAGTTTCGTGTATCGTACGAGCTCATGCACTTTCGTACCAGTTCGAGACAGCCGTTTCATTCGCAAATGTTCCTGTGTTTGTCTTCTTTTGTTTGTTTAATATATTCGAGTCTCGAGTTAATTGTTCAAATCAAGAGATAATATATAAAAATCGATTTACTTGATTACTAGAGTAAATAAAAGAAAAAAAATGATTGTTGTCTTCGATACGTTGTCTACGATTGTTAATCGTATTTTGAATCCCTGAAAATAAAAATTCATCGTACATAACTTGTTTTGCGGCGGGAGGGCAAGTAGATTGTGATTCGAATTTAAATTTTTTTCACTTTAGGAGTACCGGTTCGAAACTACGCCTAAAGTTTCCTTTAGCTTCAATCTGAACGAACTCAATTTCTGAGTTTGAATTTATGAATTTGTGAGCAAAGTTGAAAACACGATATTTTATGCAAGTTTACACAAGTATACAATGTGAAAATATTGTTATGTGCTTTTAATTATGGGATATTATTTTCTTCGATCAAGTAATTAATTTTAAACAAACGAGAATATGCTAGTTAATGTCAATATTAATACTCTTAATTTGAAATGATGTTGATGTTCTACTGTAGAGGAAAAATTGTATTAATATTCAACACAGGCCGGATGTTAAGACCTTATCAAGAATGTATCGACGAGATCTCTGTTAAAGTACATCATAATTAATTCTGTATTTTTCAATTTAAAATATGCGACATGTTTCAAACTTAAAGTACAAACTTAAAAGTAAATCGTCGTCGTTATTTTTACTGAAATCAGCAAAAAACAGCAAAAAAATCTTTATATCTATATCGAAACTTTGCTAAAAATGGACCGATTGATACCAGATTTTCGTACAACCAGAAATTTTACACGTTTATCCAGAGATTTACCTATGTTTTCCTCTTTAGAAGAGCTACATGAGAAGCTGTCAGAACTTTTAGGTAATTTTTTCTTAATTAATATCACTACACATTAATATCACACATAATAATTTTATATTAACTAATCTTCATTTAATATCGATAATTTGAAATATATTTGAAATGAATATATATTTTATATATATATATACATATATATAGAATTGTTTTATTTTCAATTTAAAATTTAAACTTAAATTTTAATCGTTTTTTCGAAAAAGAATAATTTTCGAAAAGTTTCAGAATTTGAATTTTACGCGGTATAGATGGCAGCATATGAACTATCACGTTCGGTAATTTTCGTTATATTTCGCGTAAAGTCGGTTTTCGCAATCAAGATGGCGATTACCGTCGAAGTAGCGAAACCTGACTGTGGTGTGACGTCACGCCATAGTAGTGTTGTGCGGTTATGCGTTCGTGAGTTCCGCCATTGAAAGTTGGTGATTGCGTTCATATTAGTAGTGAGCTAGATAGACGAATATGTGACAGGATAAAAGATAAGGCAAAGTGTGGTAAACAATCGTGAAGGTTTCCTGATTCCTGGTCGCCGGCGTGGCGCGCCGCGCGCGCGTATCTCTGGTCGAGTAGGCGGTATTGGACCTCGCACCGAGAGTAAGCTCGCGTGCGAACCTCTCTGGTTGCGTAGTGTCTTGTATGCGAGATGGCCGGTAAGTAAGCGTCGTGAGCGACGGTTTACTCTGCGTGGTCGCTGTATATTTCTACCACACGTCGTGAACCGAACAGTGCGTCGCTCCTGCTGGCCGCCTCGCCGCGCCGCGGCAACCTGAACCTTGACCCAGATACTATCACGGGTTCACGGGTATATCCGCAACGCTCGCAGTGCACGCAAGTTCTTCTTCGTCAATTCCGCATCCTCAAATATAATCACCCGTATCCACTCTCTGGATTATTACCGTGCGCGGGGCCAAATGCGCCCGTCGCCGGCGACGGCGGCGGCGGTGGCGACGGCCTAGAAGCACGATGGATTGCGCCGAAACTTCAAGTAGGATTACTTTTACCTTTTTTCCCTGAATTTTGTTTAATATTCTTTTTCCTCATTCTCTTTATCTATGTATTTCATTTTGACTCTTTTCATAAATTCCTCTTCCTTTTCCTTTTCCTTCATACTATTATTTCACATTTCTCTATGATTACCTTATCACGTTTCATGTCCAATATTAAATATACTTTTTACATTTTTTCCTGTTTTTTATCCTCGTTATCCTTATCGATTCGTTCCATTTCTTGCTTTTATTCGATCGTGCGTATCGTGCATTTCAATAAATGGGAAAAAATCGTGTGTAATTTCCAAATAAATTGTATGTATCTTTTTTTAACATTATACATCTACTACCTTTTATACTTAAGATACTCAAGATAATTCAAACGATAAATATTATGAAATCTTAATCTATTTTCAATACAATATTGTATGAGCAATATGAAACTTAATTGCATTATTTTTCATATTGTATATAAATTTTCATAACTTTATTATATATCTGTTTTAAATGAGAATAATATCAAGAAAATCTTATATTTAATAATTCATCTATTTTATCATTGTTTTAGGCAATGGTGACATACAATGGTGTTTCTCTCAGGTGAAAGGAACATTAGAAGACGATGTCACTGAAGGTAAGTTCTAGATACAAAAAAATGACACGTATATTTTACATGTATGATCTAATCAATTTACATTTTAATCATTGCAAAAATATAACATAACATGAATATAATATATTTTAAAATAATAAAGCATATCGTTTAATAACATTCTATTTCTCTCTCTTTTTTTTTATATTGTCTTTCTTTTTTCTTTGTGTTATTTCTAAATTATATATAATATATATATATATAATATTTTAATATTCTAGAATATATTGTTATAATTATCCATATTATATTCTGTTTTAGCTGATATAATTTCATGTGTTGAATTTAACCATGATGGTGATCTTCTTGCAACAGGAGATAAAGGTGGTCGGGTTGTTATTTTTCAAAGAGACCCAGTTGTAAGTTACTTGTTATTTTTAATTATATTTATATCATATTCATTATTTCTAGATTATATATTAATTTTATATTAATAGTATTTTTATATATTGTACTATATATTAATCTTTGTACTTTCAATTAAAAGAAACATATCATTTGAATAAAAATTATATATATATATGTTAATATTGGATTATTGCCAGATTTGTATATAATATGCATATTTCTCTATCTTTAGAGAATATTGAAGGATAACTACTAGAAATATAAAAGAAATATTTTTCAGTCATATTTTATGAAATTTTTTTTAAGTAATTTCAGTGTCTACAAATAAAGATATTTTTAAAATTAAAAAAATGATATTTTTATCTAGAGTAAAAACAGTATACCTCGGAGAGGTGAATACAATGTATACAGCACCTTTCAAAGTCATGAACCTGAATTTGATTACCTGAAATCATTAGAAATAGAAGAAAAAATTAACAAAATTAGATGGTTAAAAAGAAAAAATCCAGCACATTTTTTACTTTCCACAAATGATAAAACAATTAAATTGTGGAAAGTCAGTGAACGAGATAAAAGAGTAGAAGGTTATAATACAAAGGAAGAAAATGGTACAATTCGTGATCCTGCTTGTATCACTTCTTTAAGGGTAAGTGCTAAGTATATTTTTATTATTTGCTAATTTGATAATTTAAAATTATAATAAATTATATGTAATAAATTCATCTTTAATTCTATCATTTTATTTTAAATTTATACATAGTTATAATGTTTTTTATACTATTGTGTTTTTAACAAAAATATTTTCAATGGGAGCATGGTCAAGAAGTTCAAATATGTACATAATGTTATGAGACTATTATCATATATTGAATACTTACTTGTTGACTTAGGTTCCAACTATAAAACCAATGGAATTAATGGTAGAAGCATCTCCAAGAAGAATATTTGCCAATGCGCACACCTATCACATAAACAGTATAAGTGTCAACAGTGATCAGGAGACATACCTCAGTGCTGATGATCTTAGAATTAATCTTTGGCATCTTGAGATCACAGATCAGAGTTTTAGTATCCTTTTTCTATGTCACTTAGTATTTATTTTATTTTTATTTCTTAAATTTTATGTTGTTCTTGATATATATTTATACAACTCTTAATATATATTTTTTATAATAAAATCTAGTGTTTTCCTAACAATAATATACAGATATAGTAGATATTAAGCCAACTAATATGGAGGAGCTAACTGAAGTAATAACCGCTGCGGAATTTCACCCGGCAGAATGTAATGTCTTGGTATATAGTAGTAGTAAAGGAACGATTAGACTCTGTGACATGAGATCTGCTGCGCTTTGCGACCAACATAGTAAACTCTTTGAAGAACCAGAAGATCCAACAAATAGAAGTTTCTTCTCCGAAATCATTTCCAGTATAAGCGATGTAAAACTTAGTAATTCAGGAAGATATATGATCAGTAGAGACTACCTCAGTGTGAAAGTGTGGGATTTACAAATGGAAACAAGACCTATTGAATGTTACCCTGTATGTAATAAAAATTGAAATATAAATTTTATATATCTAACGTAAAATATTTATCAATTATATTATTATAGGTACATGAATACCTAAGATCAAAGTTATGTTCATTATATGAAAATGATTGTATCTTTGACAAGTTCGAATGTTGTTGGAGTGGTAATGATTCTGCTATTATGACGGGTTCATACAATAATTTCTTCAGAGTATTCGATCGTACGACTAAACGTGATCTCACATTGGAAGCAGCACGTGACATTGCCAAACCAAAAACACTTTTAAAACCACGTAAAGTAAGTATAAATTTTTAAATTGATCAATAAGATATATTTAATTAATTATAATTGTATATTATAATTTATTACTTACAATATAAATGTTTTATTGAAAGGTTTGTACTGGCGGTAAACGTAAAAAAGATGAAATTAGCGTTGACTGTCTTGATTTCAATAAAAAGATATTACATACTGCTTGGCATCCATCTGAAAATGTAGTAGCTGTTGCTGCTACAAATAATCTCTTCCTATTTCAAGACAAACTCTAGCACATCTGTATGCAAGTATGATTTAATATCGTATCAAATTATAAATAGAATTAAAAAGATACATCTTATTTAAAATATTAAAAAGATTGTTTTTCATTTCTTTAGATCATTCAACGGTATATGTTGACGTGAGCAAGGCACGTTCAACTAAAAAGTCCCAGTGGAACAAGGGGTGTCTGAATTACACTGACGAAAGTTGACTATTTTATATAATAGTTGACTGACTGAAAAGTGGTGTACGTAGCGCCGTCCACACAGCTCACATATTCATACACACTATGTATACACAGAGGCATACAGAATTGCACGTAACACCTTGTCGCGCGTATATATGTGTATAAATACATGCAAGCAAAGACGCATAGTTCTCCAAACTATTAAATTCCGCTAGTTAAAATAAAATGCACGGAATCATTGCCTATTGATGAAGAGAAATGTACAGTTTAATCAATCAATAGACTCGTGTTGGCGGTTATTATTTAACTATTCTAATAGAAAATTAATACTTTCAGTTTGCTTGTATCATAGAAATTTTGATACCGTACAACTTAAAGTGTTTTTTAATATAGGTGATTTTTCTACGTATGGAATGATATATATAAAAGGAAATGCATCAGTAGGACCAAGTGCAGATAGAATTAAAAGTCATTAGATGCGATAAATGTATCCCAATAATTATATATCTTTGCTTAATAATTTTCCAAAGTAAAAATGCCTAGATATGCAAAATTAAATATAGGGATGATTATATGTGCCAATGAGATTACAGATTTACAACTCATTTATTCTAATCTTAATTTAATATTCTTTGTTCGGTAAATTTTTGCGCAGTAAAATTTTAATTATTTTAAAATAAAAATTTTTTTTATCGATAACTGATCCTGATATTTATCAAATCTATTGCTGATATTAAAATATTTTCATAATTGTTGCATTTAAAGTATACTATTAAATATATAAAAAAAAAAAAATCGAAGCTTTCGATAATTTTAATTAGTCGTTTATTTTTATTACCTACTAAAAAAAAAAAAAATTAAATAGTAGGCCTATATTCTTGTGTCCTTATTTTTTTGAGTAAAATATCACATATACATGGCATGTCAGTTAAAGACAAATATTCGCCGATACGAGTCAAAATATAAAAAGACAAGACAAATTCACCGTCTATTAAAAGTTCGGAGAAAAATTAATATCAATGCATTGTATACACTAAACAGTAAATGATATAGGTGTAAAGCACCATTCATCAGTTGCCGCTTTCTAATAAAAAAAAAATAAATAAATAAATAAAAAAAACTCAATAAAGAAATATAAAGAAGTTGTGGTAACTATAAGTGGAATACAGATTTTCTAATATTTCTTATTGACAACTTATTAACACTTATACACTTACACATATAAGCAGCGATTTCGTACACGAATAAAAATAAAATAAAAAAGTGCATTTGACGATGGTAAGCTGCGCTTGCAGAGTTTATGTAAATTAAATATGTGCTGAGTAATATATATATATATATATTATATATATATATATATATATTAGCGGAATATAACGTCAAAATTACGTAAAATCTATGGAAAATAAAATTCGATTATGTGATTCAAACATACGCGCGGATTATCGATTGCGATCAAGGTGAATAAAATTGGACATTTTTTTTATCGATGAAAACCAATAGCAAAAATTATCTTAGTGACATGTACTTTACATTAATGACTTAAATTGTACATGATCGAGAATTAGAATTAATAATTTTCACGTGTACAGATAAGAATTCTTGAGTCACAAGCAAATAAACGACTTACAATACAAGCAATCATATAATTTTATATAAAAAAAAATAATATATATATATATATGATCGCTATGCTAAAACAGTTCTAAAAGATTCGTTCTCTCCCATCTCCTAATTTCTAATCACTTCTCCGAAAGATCTGCTATATGGCCAAAAATAAAACACACGTGATATGAAAAATTATTTTAAATTATGCGCTTTGAATGATTTCATTTAATCATATTCTTATTCAAATAATATTAAATCTTAAGTTTTAAATATCAGAAATAATAAATTAGGTATTTTATGCGTTGAATTTCGAAATCCAATTTAATTTAAAAATATAATATTATATATTATCACGTTTCTTGCAATGTAGTTTTCAAGTGTCTAACAAAAAAAGAAAAAACATTTAAGAAATTTAGTTGCCCTGTTTCTATATTAACGCAAAAGCAATAATAAAAGAAAAAAAATAATCTTTATAACTTTATGCAATACAACGCATGAAACGTAATAATTATGTACCAAACCAGAACTATTATTCAGTATCTTTGTAACAAGATGTTTAGACAATTGAATGTTCATGAAAGAAAGGAAGCGAAAAGACGCACGAAAATTAAAAATTAAAAAATCATAATTGATAAGCTATAATAGTAATTTGTTTTCAAAAAGATATAAGCGAAGAAACCGTGAAATTCGTTCTAATCGAACAAAACGTAGACTTATTTTTACAATTAAGTAATATTAATATTATTACTGCTATTATTATAATTATTATTATTATAATTATTACTATTATTATTGATATTATAGGGACTCTGCGTAACTTGTTTATTTTGTTAACTGCTATGCAGGTTTAGTCACGGTGATGACGACTTGATCTGTTCGGTAAATTAGATAGCATGATGATATAATTAATTACAAATCGTGTTTGATTGACCGGAATAAAATGATACTTGTTCGCGCAGTAAAAAGTTTTACGGAAACCGTTATATTCCGAAACACTTGAAGTATGCAACGAAGAGCCCGGGGCTCCCGTTAGATCCTTCTTAAAATATTTGTAAAATCGAATGCTAACGGGATCGATGAATATGAGACAAATGAAATATAACAAACTATCAAAAACAATGGATTCAAACTATATTGATTCAAACTAACTAGGTATAAAGTTTATTTAAAAGGAAATGCAATTTGTATCCGCTTGCTTGATATGTGAGGTGAAATGGAGGTCTCGTATGTATGGATCCCTTTCAAAAAACATTTTGAATATTAAAAAATGCCTTACAACTGGTCGTATCATCGCTGCATCCGTGCATCGGACAATCCGAATTGAAATAAATGAAGATAAAAAAAATCGCTGAGCAGAGTAGAATTTTGGCACGCAGGACCTGTCTCGTTGTGATATAATAAACGTCATTGTATTACTAGCCGAATGTTGAAGCTCTATTTTTATTAAGGTACCATGTATTATTAGTCCATACTTAGCGATTTTATAGTGAATACATATATATCTTTTTACCTGTCTTGCGTGAAATACAATGAAACAAAATTCCAATAGCGAGACTCAAAATATTCGGAAGTTTATTTGTATAAGATTTATCTAAGATTAATTATTTTTGAGTATTTTTCTTAACTTTACTATTCTATGATTCATTTCTTCTCGCTAAAACACGCAATTAGGTAAAAAGAACAATTATGGTATCCATTGTCAAGTTAAGATGAATCGTGCCATAGAATATTATGCGTAAAGAATACTGTCATTTTTACTGTCTGTTTTATATTGTATTCTATTATCTTTTCAGCGGAAAAAAACAAATCGAGAAAAAAACATTTGAGTTCTTTTCGAGATTTCCAAAATTAATTACGTCTGTTTGCACGGTACAGATCTTTACGAGAAATTTACGCTACAAAAATGTAAAAGATCACAGAACTGATGTAACTTGAAGAAAGCGTAAGGCATCTAGATAGTGAGAAGAATGATGTAAAGCATAAATGAGAAAATAATGAGCAAAACTGTCGAAATCGAGTAACAATAATTTTCACTCCTGGTTTTGACTCTACCATTCAACCTGATCGTAATTGCTTCTAAAAAAATACTTGAGAAAATCTTGAAAATGTTCGACTAATATATCTAATATTCGAATATTTTCAAGATTACCAAGTTTATTTTGTACCGTATAATGTGCCTCAAAAATGCCAACGTTTCCAAAAGCGAATGGCAATTTACACTCAAGATAGCAGTTGATTTGTTTCAAAAAAAAAAAGAAAAAAAAGAAATAATAAAAGTAAAATCGAATTAAATGCTGCGAGCGCAAACATTGTCAATGAGATTTATCATAAATAATTAGAACAGTGTCAGAATAAAGACGATATGAAAAGTATGGATTTACAATAGAAATTATAAATGAAAAGACACTTGTTCTATGATGTAGCATTATAATAGCATATGCAAGCGCATTATGATTCGAATATTTCAGAAAAACGAATGAACACTGCGCCGAGATATACATAGATAAGTTATATGGTAGCTAGTTCTGAATGAATGACAGTATGAATATTCTGTACTCTGCACGTATGTCTCGTTGCATGCCTGTAAAGAGCAGAAGGAAGCCTCAATCATATAATCATTTATTTATCTTATTTCGGGATGAAATAACATATGCATTTAAACGTTGAATATATCAGATATATATAAAAAAAGAACATAAAAGAAATGAATGAATTTTATTTTCAAATAGTATTACAAATTTTTAGATGTTATTTACAATTTTATATTTTCTCATAATTTTCTTCTGTTATATATATATATATATATATATATATATATATGTATGTATGTATGTACTATTGTAATTGTTTCTTTT